TCCCCTGACCGGGAGCACCTACCGGCAGCTGCTGGAGCGCCTGCAGGCACGGCAGGGCCGGCTGGAGCAGCTGCGGGACCAGGACCAGGGCAAGGCCCAGGAGCTTGAGGCCAAGATGAAGTGGACCAACCTACTGTACAAGGCGGAGGGCGTGAAGATCCGCGACGATGAGCACCTGCTGCAGGAGGCGCTCAAGCGCAAGGAGAAGCGCCGGGCGCAGCGCAAGCGCCGCTGGGAGAAGCGCTCCGCCCAGGTGGTAGAGAAGATGCAACAGCGGCAAGACCGGCGGCGGCAGAACTTGCGCAAGAAGAAGGCGGCCCGGGCCGAGCAGCGCCTGCAGAAGGCCCGCAAGAAGGGCCGGATCCTGCCCCAGGACCTGGAGCGGGCTGGCCTAGAGTGAGCAGCTCTCCAGACCTTGGGCCCCTCCCTGTAAAGAGGGCACCGGGAATGAAGAGAGGGCCCAGATCCTTCAGACCCTGGGGAAGGGCGAGCCAGATCAAGGTCTGGCAGCTTCTCAAGAAGGGATCGGTGGAGGGGGGCATGGGGTGAGCACCTCCCTGGCCCTGCCTCTCCTACTTGTTAGTCCAGCGCTCACTTGGGAGGGGCGAAAAGCCAAAGGGGAGATGATTGGCTCCTGTAACCCGGGAGAAGCTGCAGGTCCAGTCATGGCCGAGTCCTAGGACCGGGACAGAGGCCTCCCTGGTCTCTCCTTGGCTTCTGCCTGTTTCGATCTCATTCTCTGCGCTCCTCAGTAGCCTGGAGCGACACCTTCCAGGTCAGAATCCAAAGGGAATGAGGCAGCCATACCTTTCCATCGTCCCTGGGAGGCCACTGTGTCACATAGCCACCTCTGGGCCGGAGGCAGTGGTGCTGTGAGGGACATGCCTTCACTCTCTCCTGGGGTCGGGGGAGGTTTGCTGCTGCCAGGTGGCAGAGGTCAGGACAGGGACAGCAGATGGTGTCCTTGGATGCCAGGGTGCAGGAGCGGCCAGTGTGGCCGGTGTTTTCTTCAGTGTCACCCTTACCGAGCAGCTATTCAAAAATGAGCCCCCCAAAGCAGCAGCAGCAGCATGCGTGTCCCTTAGCTCCTGTGCAGGGCACCAGGCGCACACTTGGCTGGACAGTAGTGTGCTGGATTGAAAATGTGTCACCACGCTTTTTTGTAATGACTTGACTGGGCAGCAGGAGACTCTAGGCTTGGTAGGGGACCCAGGCTGAGACAGGAACCCTGCAGCCTGGGAAAAGCTGTAGGTCCAGGCACACCTGGGTCTCTGAGAAGTCACTCGTGCAGCTGCAGGGAGTGTAGCAGGCCACGGCGTCCAGCTCCTGGTCTGTGGACCTGCCTCAGCTCCTTGACCTAAGGCCAGCCCTTCCTGGGCAGCCTCCAGCCAGTGCCAGCCAGTGCCAGGCAGCGAGGGCTTGCGGCAGCTCTGCGTGGCTGTCGGTCCCCCACCCTTTCTCTCACAGGCCTTATACCTAATAAACCTTCAATACCGAACTCCATCTCCATGCGTGTTTCCTGAAGGAATGAAAGTGACGTAGTGCCAACAGCTTCCATCAAGACACAGGTACAGGTCACTGCAGAGCATGAAGACAGTCCTCCGGTCACAGCCCTTAGTGGGGAAGAAAGGAATCCGCTGCAGAGGAAGGCAATCCCTTCATTCTCCTCTGGGATTTTGGGCACGCATGCACACGCACCTGGCATGAGTTCTAAGTTGCTGGGTCTGGAACTTGAACCACAGTTGAGTATGTGTGCGCCCAGTGACATAACCATTATGCCATCTGCTGGCTCCCTGGTGGTGTCATTCTGTTTAACTTCTAGTAGAACCACCGGAGTGTCTTGCCGCAGTTGCACCGTTTTACATCCCATCTACAATGTGTGAGCGCCCAAATTTCTCCATGGCCTTGCTAACACTTGTGCTTTTTCCACTTTATTTTTTATTTATTATTTCATTTACTTATTTATTTATTAGAGAAGTTCTTGCTATAGGGCACGTGTGCTCACCAGACAGAGAGAGACCGAAAGCGAGAAATCCCCCCGCAGGGGGGATGGCCACCCTGCGATCCCTCCTCCATTCTCCTCTCGGGATCTTGGGCACGCATGCACACGCGCCCAGCGTGAGTTTTAAGCCACCAGGTCCAGGATGCGAACCGCGGTCGACTTTGTGGGAGCCCAACGACATAGCCATTACGCTAACTGCTGGTTCCCTTGCCTTTGTTTTTTTAAATTATATTTTAAAAGCTCTCTTTGGGGCCAGCAGGTGGTGTGGTAGATAAGGATGTTGAATTCCCACATGGCTGACCATGGTTTGAGTCCCAGACCTGGTGGCTTGCTTTCTTGCTTTCCATTTCTCTCTCTCTATCTGGTCAAAATAAATAATAATAACAAATGGAATCAAATAAATAAATACTTCTTTTTAAAAAAAAAATCTTTTCTTGGGGGACCAGCAAACCAAAAAAGCTCTTTTCTGGGTCCAGTAGATGGCATAATGGTTACATCACTGGACTCCCACATGGCCAACCACAATTTGAATCCCTGACCTGGAAGTTTGAAACTCACACTGGGTACATGTGCATACTTGTCCAAGATCCCAAGAGAAGAATGGAGGAGAAGGGATTGCTGCATGACCATACCCCCTGGGAGATGATTTCTCACTTTCTCTCTCTACCTCTTTCTGTCTCTCTGGTGAACGCACATTCCCTATAGCAAAAATCTCTCTCTAAAATAAATGAAATAAAAATAAAAATTTTTCTTAGCGATTGTTCCAGGGATTAAAATATACATTTTGATTTATTACTGTCTATATTAATACTAACTTAATATCAGTAAAATACAGAAACTTTGTTCCAGTATGGCTACATTTTTCTCCTTTCTGGTATTATTACTGTATATAATAATCCATATGTATTATAAACTGATACTGGTTGTAGTTATTGCTTTATACAATCTTATTTTTTCTAGATTAAGTAGAACAAGAAGGAAAACATTTTCCAGTCTTTTATATTAAACTGTATATTTACCATTTACTTTACTCCCACTTTCTTTCTTGATTAGTCAGGTTATTGTTTAGTGATATTTCCTTGCTCTGACATAGTTTGGTTCCCTCCTTACTCCTTTGTGCTAATATAGTTATACATTCGATCATTTTATTTTATAAGCTGAATGACTAGCTAGCTAAGCAAGCTCTCAGAATGCAAAGTCAATATGTAAATCAATTATATTTGTATAATATGTGCAACAATCAACTGGACACTGAAGTTTTAAAATATATAATTTACAGTAACATCAGAAAATAAAATGTTTAGGGAAATACTTATCAACTAGGAGCAATGCCTATAAAATTAAACTCATAGTGCATTGCTGAGCGAAAGTAAAGAAGACAAATAAATGGAGAGGCATACAATGTTCATGGATTAGAAAACTTTTTATTTTCTTGAGAGGTTTACTATAGGGTGTGTACGCTCACCAGAAAGCCAAAGAGAAACAGAGAGACAGAAAGCAAGAAATCACCTTTCAGGGGGATGGCCATACCACAATCCCTTCTCCACTCTCCTCTCGGGATCTTGGGCATACATGCACACGCGCCCAGTGTGAGTTTAAGCCACCAGCTCTGGGACTCGAACCGTGGTTGACTACATGGGAGTCCAGCAACATAGCCATTACACCAACTGCTGGTCCCGGATTGGAAGACTTTTTAGCATTGCTAAACTGGGGGCCAACAGATGGCATAATGGTTACATTACTGGACGTCCATGTAATTGACCACAATTCCAGAACCAGACCCAGCGACTTAAGACTCATGCTGGGTGTGTGTGCGTGCGTGCCCAAAGTCCTGAGAGGAGAAGGAATTGCAGTGTGACCATCCCCCCTGGGGGATGATTTTTCACTTTCTATCTGTCTTTCTGGCGAGTTCACATACTCTACAGCAATAATCTCTATTTTAAAAAATGGCTAACCTGGGACCAGCAGTTAGCGCAATGGCTATGTCACTGGATTCCCACGTAGTCGACCATGGTTCACGTCCTGGACCCGGTGGCTTAAAACTCACGCCAGGCGTGTGTGCGTGCGTGCCCAAAGTCCTGAGAGGAGAAGGAATTGCAGTGTGACCATCCCCCCTGGGAGGTGATTTCTTGCTTTCTGTCTCTCTGTCTCTCTCTGTCGGTCTGGCGAGCGTACGCGCCCTATAGCGAAAAACCTCTCAAAAAAAAAAAAAAAATATAAGGCTAACTTGTCATTTCTTCCCAAATTGATTTGTAAAGTCTACATAATCCCAATCAAAACTCAAGAAGGGAGGCTGGCAGGTGGTGGTTAAGGACATCCAACTCCCACATGGCTAACCATGGTTTGAGTCCCAGACCTGGTGGTTTGCTTTCTCACTTTCCCTTTCTCTCTCTCTCTCTCTCTCTCATTCTGTCCCTATCTGGTGAAATTAAAAATAAATAGCTTAATTAATTAAATAAAGTTAAATAATTATTTTAAAAAAACAAACTCAAGGAATTTTTGTAAAAATCAACACACTAATTCTAAAATATTTATGGAACTACAAAGGTTCCAGAACAGCTAAAACAATTTTGAAAAAGAAAAACAGGGACCAGCAGATGGTATAATGGCTACATTGCTGCATTCTCATGTAGTTGACTGTGGTTCGAGCCCCGGACCTGATGGCTTAAACTCACGCTGGGTGCATGTTCCTGTGTGCCCAAGATCCCAAGAGGAGAATGGAGGAGAAGGGATTGCAGCATGGCCATCCCCCTGGGGGGTTATTTCTTGCTCTCTGTCTCTATCTTTCTGGCGAGTGCATGTGCCATTCAGCCCCCGCCTCCCCCCCGCCAAAAAAAAGAAAGAAATAGGAAAACAAAGCTGAGGGGTTTATACCTCCTGATTTTAAGCTGGATTATATGGTCAGAGCAGTAAGTACATGCTGGTGCTGAGACAGACATGTAGATAATGGAATGGGATGTAGAGTTCAAGAATAGACCTGCACATATAGATAATCCATTGGTGTTGATAAGGTGCTAAGATAATGTGATGGGAACGGAAAGCATTTTTTATTCTCTGGGTAACAACAGAGGGAGTGTGTGACATGAGAGAGAGAGCCCCCCCAGGGGGGTCTGGTCATCCACATTCCTTTCCCCTCCAATTCTTTATCTCATAGTATGCGAGCACATGGCCGCCATCTGTCTCGTTAAGGGATGTGCCGAGCCACTCCCATCTCTGGGAGAAGAGGTGTAAGTACAGAAGGCCCAGGATGCGCCCAGGACAGGGTGGGAGGAGGCTGAACCTGCTGTCAGCCTTCCAGGCTGTTGGCTAAAGCCACCATGCAGGGCGGATGCGCTGGCCCTCCTCCCCTGCCCCTGCTCTCTGCCCTTGTAGACACACTTCACCATGGGGCACTAGGTCAACTCCTACATCTTCAGGTCCAGGAGGTGGACGTGCTGCCCGGGCGCTGAGGGTTGGCAGCAGCTGGAGGTCCTCCTGGGGTGCAGCTATGGGCGCTGGCGGGACACATCCGTGCACCTCATGGAGGTGATCGGTGATTTCTCTGAGCGGCGCGTCTTCCATGAGGTGGATTACTTGGTGTACACCGACGTGGACATGCTCCTGGACCATGTGGGTGTGGAGACCCTGTCTGCGCTTTTGGCACCCTCTACTCCAGCTTCTACAGGACAAGCCAGGACCCCTTCACCTAGCGCCACCCTCAGTCCCAGGCCCACATCCCTCAGACGAGGGTGACTTCTACTATGTGGGGGTCAGTGACAGAGGTGTCCCAGCTCACCAAGGCCCGCCATCAGGCCATGATGGCAGACCAGGCCAATGGCGTCGGGGCTGTGTGGCACATCAAGAACCACCTGAGCAAGTCCCTGCTGTGCCACAAGCCACCCACATGCTGACCCAGAGTACACATGGGATGAGCCGCTGCCAGGCCGGCCCTGGTCACGAAGCCAAGATCTGTGGCCCTGCCCCAGGACCCCCAGGAAAGCTGCACCACCGGGCCGAGCTGCAGGCCACCCCGCCCCCTCCCCTGCCACATAGCAGAACCAGCTCCAGCAGAACCTGGCCAGTGGAGAGAGCTGGCCGAAGCCTAGCCCCAAGTCGAAGTCAGGCAGGCCTAGGGTCATATCCTGCCTCCCCCAAGAGACATGGGGACACAGACAAGCACACAGATACACAGACATGCATGCACAGACGGATACCCAAATATGCAGACATGCACACTCAGGCACACACAGACATGACCGCACACACGGATACACAGACATGCACGCACAGACGGACAGATACCCAAATATGCAGTCATGCACACTCAGGCACACAGAGAAATGACCACACACACGGATACACAGACATGCACGCACAGGCAGACGGATACCCAAACATACAGACATGCACACTCAGGCACACACAGACATGACCGCACACACGGATACACAGACATGCACACACAGACGGACAGATACCCGAATATGCAGACATGCATACTCAGGCATGCACAGGCATGACC